AGCTTACATAATGGGGTCCGTGCGCACTTCGTACTCAGCATCGTACCACTACGTTTCTTTTTTCACTAACATGACCACATAGACATGATGGTCCGTGCGCAGTCGGTACTTGTATAAGTAGTTGTACCATTAGTCGGTTGAACCCTAAGTTCAACCTGGTTATTCATTCAAGTCTCTGCTCCTCTTCGCTTGTGGTAGTGGTCATTCTCAACTTCCTCGCTCGATCTTCAGGACAACGTACTGTCTGAAACATTTGTCTTTCCGCTCTATTCCTTGTACTACTAGTGCCCATACTGGCGCCTGTCTTAGCACTCACCCGCAGGTTGAACATTATGTAGCTTACATAATGGGGTCCGTGCGCACTTCGTACTCGGCATCGTACCACTACGTTTCTTTCTTCACTAACACGACCACATAGACACAATGGTCCGTGCGCAGTCGGTACTTGTATAAGTAGTTGTACCATTAGTCGGTTGAACCCTAAGTTCGACCTGGTTATCCATTCAAGTCTCTGCTCCTCTTCGCTTGGGGTAGTGGTCATTCTCGACTTCCTCGCTCGATCTTCGGGACGACGTACTGTCCATAAGCCCTCGCTCGTCGTCTACGAGTCAGGCATCAATATAGGAGTATAGACTGTTGTATCAAAAGGTCGAACTTTCTAAGCTACGTTCCTAGTTTTACCTAGTCGAACATCTCATCCACCATCACGTCGAACAATGCAGTCAACTCAGTTCCTTTGGGACTACCAGCCCTCGCAGGATCACCGCTCCTCCAGTACGACCAAGCAGATCGCTGCTTCGTCACCTCCACAAAAAGAGCTCCCATCTACCCTCGAGGCGGCACCTGGTGTTGTGCAACCGGTCCAAACCCGCAGGTCGTCGCCCATCAAGAACTCGTTAGCTACTACCAGAGACACCCACCCGCTCACCCAGAAGACGTATTCACCACCCTACGGATTGACGTCGAACCTACACAAACAACAGAAAGCGTGCAGTCACCCATCAACGAACAACCACTCGAACTCCCTGAAGTTCAGTACGTTCCCATCGAAATCCCAGACATCGAACTACCACCAGCCCCACCCGCACCAACCAACGCACCGGTTGAAGTCCCTATGGCAACGTTCACTCAAGCAGACATCGATCAGCGCATCGCTGTTGCCCTCGCAGCATACCAATCCCAGCAGTCAACGGCCAACCGACCCCTTCGCCTCGACATCCCCGCTCCCGAACCTTTCAGCGGAAAGGCAGAGGACCTCAGACGCTTCATCCAATGCATCCTCTCCTACTTCGTCGCCACCAACAACACCCGACTCAGCGATGAAGCAAAGATCGCCTTCACTGTAGCGCTAATGAGGAAGGATCTGGGGAAAACATGGGCAGACGCGTATTACGAAAAGTCGGCAGGGGGAGTCCAGGTCTATTCCACTTGGGCAGACTTCGTTGCCGCTCTAGAAGAGGCATTCCCTGAGCACGGAACGAGAATCAAGGCACATCAAATCCTGATGAAACTGCCTGAACAACAGAAGGATAGGAAGACAGCTCTCTCCCTTAGTAACTACGTCACCTGCTTCGAGCAGCTAGCATCAAAGGCTCAGCTCAAGGACGCCGAGGTCAATGGCACCAACCGCGTCAAGAACAACTACCACACTCTCCACGCCAACTTCATCAAAGGACTCCCGAAGGAGCTGTATTTTGCGCTCGCAACAAGGGTCGCCAGGGATCGACCCAACACCATGAAGGCCTGGTACGACGAAATCCGAAATGCCGACGCAGTCAAGCAGGGGGCTCTCGTCGTCACAGACACCAGGGACTATGGTGAACCAATGGATATCAACGCCGCTGCCGTCACATCAACCTTCGCCTCCACATCGGGAGGAAGGAAATGGGAACCAGGAGCCATTCTCAACGAGGCCGATCGGAAGCTCCACAGGGACGGGAACCTGTGCTTCTACTGCCACATCAAGGGCCACAGTGCCAAGGATTGCTGCAAGAAAGCGGCTGCACGACAAGGGGGTGGGAGGCCGAACCAGGGAGGATCTGGGAAGGACGACTTTCGCGCCAGAATCAAGACACTCTCCGCTGACGAAAAGCGGGAGCTGTACGAAGAACTTACAATGGAGGATTTTTGAAGGGGCAGGGTGAGCCGATGCAACCACTGCCCGTATCTGTTTCACTGTCCCGTGTAATTCTAGTAGTCCGAA